CTTTATTCAGTAGTCTTATGGCTAATAGTGATATCAGTAATATTTAAAAATTTTTATATCTCACAGAATAAATATGTTAATATTGTTGGGTTTGGGGGGCGCCTGGGTGGCTCCGTCAGTTAAGTGTTTGACTTTTTTTTTTTAAGATTTTATTTATTTGACAGAGACACACAGCGAGAGAAGGAACATAAGCAGGGGGAGTGGGAGAGGGAGAAGCAGGCTTCCCGTGGAGCAGGGAGCCCGATGCGGGGCTCGATCCCAGGACCCTGGAATCACGACCTGAGCCGAAGGCAGGTGCTTAATGACTGAGCCACCTAGGCGCCCCAAGTGTTTGACTCCTGATTTCAGCTCAGGTCACCATCTCAGGGTCGTGAGATCAAGCCCTTCATCAGGCTCCATGCTCAGGGGGAGTCTGCTTCTCTTCTCTCTCTCTCTGCCCCGCCCCCCACCCTGATTCCCGGGCATGCTCTCTCTCTCTAAAATAAATAAATAGATCTTAAAAAAAAATATTGGTGGGTTTTCAATCTGGGAGAAAGAAATGTAATATCATATTGCAGCTAAAGATTCTGTAAGTTTGAATTGAAAAAAGTTTTACAATTTTTTCCTCTTAAAAATTCACATATCCTAGTCCCGTCCACTAAAATACCTAGATACAAAGACAAAGAATGAGCACCACCAGTGTCTAAATTGGTCATTTCTAAATACCATCTCCATGTCTTGGGCTCACTGAAGGAATGGCATGCTAGTTCAAGGTCTTGGGCCTGAAATGTACATGATGCACCTAGGTCATCTTGTTGAGGCACAGAAAAGCCTCAAAGACTAATGAGGACTGCTGGTGGAGTTTCTTCTTGGAGCGATGAAATGTTCTGTAATCAGGTCAGTGCTGCTGGCTGTACAGTTACGTGAATATACTAAAAACCACTCGTACATGTGGTTTTTTATGGTATGTGAACTATACTAAATTGTTATTAAAATGTTAAAGTATTTTTAACAACAAAAATGGGATGGGAACCACCATCATGACTGCTGTGCAGGCCGCAGGAATCATGATTGACCATGAGTCATGGGAAGTATCCCTCAATTGATGGGGATAGAGAATCAGCTAGTGAAGAGTTTCATTAAATGGAGCAACTCTGGATTCCAGGAAGAGGGATATGTACTGAGCACACTGTCACAATACAGGTTTTCAACGGGCAAAACCTTGCCAGTATATAATGTAAATCTCAGAGAATTGGAAAATTACGAAAAAAATCCACTAAGACATAGAATGGAGCATAAAGAACACGAAAAAAATGCTGAATGCAAAAAGCAGATTTTTCAAGCAAAACACGTAGTCAGGAATCCAGTGTTTTTACGAAAGTATTCCAGCATCATCCAAACAGGCATGGGCCATAAAAGAGCTACGTGCTCTGGGAAAAGACTTAGAGGTTTTTTGGGTTTTTTTCAAACATACTGGAAAACATGCTGAAAGAGTCGAGATGAAAACAATACCATGTCCATGGACTTCAGCAACCTTCATCAAAACGACGGCAAGCTCTCAGAGGGGGAAAAAGTTCAAACAGGCATGCACATAGATTGCGGGCATGCACATTATCGACAGGCTAATGTCTCAAAATCCTCGCAACTACGATAGTGCCATGATCTTACTGCGTTTAGAATTTGCTTTGCTCCTGGGGCCGCCTGGGTGGCTCAGTCGGTTGGGCGGCTGACTCTTGATTTCGGCTCAGGTCATGATCTCGGGATCCAGGGATCGAGCCCCACGTCAGACTACAGGCTCAGCAGGGAATCTGCTTGAGATTTTCTCCCTCTCCCTCTGCCCCTCCCCCCACTCATGCACGCTCACTCTCTAAAATAAACAAATCTTAAAAAAAAAAAAAAATTTGCTTTGCTCCTGGATAGTGTCTCTGCAGAAAAATTCTTCCCTTTGAAATATTGACATGTTTTTGTAGTCATGTTTCTTGAAAAAAAAAAAAAATGGACAACGGTTTCAGTAATGATTTGAGTTTATTAAAAAGGCTTTTTTTCTAGAGCGCCTGGATGGCTCAGTTGGTTGAGCATCAGATTCTTGGTTTTTGCTTGGGTCACGATCTCAGGGTTGTGGGATCGAGCCCTGCATTGAGCCCTGCACTGGGCTCTGGGCTCAGTGGGGAGTTCTGCTTAAGATTTTCTCCCTCTCCCTGTCCCTCTGCCCCTCCCCCTGCTTGTGTGCTCTCTCTCTAAAATAAATAAACCTTTTTAAAAAATGCTTTTAGGGCGCCTGGGTGGCTCAGTTGGTTAAGCAACTGCCTTCGGCTCAGGTCATGATCCTGGAGTCCCGGGATCGAGTCCCACATCGGGCTCCCTACTCAGCGAGGAGCCTGCTTCTCCCTCTGACCCTCCCCCCTCTCATGTACTCTCTCTCATTCTCGCTCTCTCAAATAAATAAATAAAATCTTTTTTAAAAAATGCTTTTATTTTTTGGGGCACCTGCCTGGCTCGGCCAGTAAAGCATGTGACTCTTGATCTTGGGGCCATGAGTTCAAGCCCCACGTTGGGTGCAGATTAAAAAAACGCTTTTTTTCTTAAACTTTAAACATAGGAACCATCACTGAAAAATGTTTAATAAAATGATTTTAAGCAGGGTATATCTGTACTCATTAATATTGTAGGTAGGTTTTTAGCTGGTAAAGTTAATTTGTTTTAAAAATAAACTGAACATTATGAGAAGGGAGAGTTTCCAGCATGTCCATAAAACAATAAATCAATTTATAGAAACTGTCATTTATTGGGCGCCTGGGTGGCTCAGTTGGTTAAGCGACTGCCTTCGGCTCAGGTCATGATCCTGGAGTCCTGGGATCGAGTCCCGCATCGGGCTCCCTGCTCAGCAGGGAGCCTGCTTCTGCCTCTGACCCTCCCCCCTCTCATGTGCTCTCTCTTTCTCATTCTCTCTGTCTCAAATAAATAAATAAAATCTTTAAAAAAAAAAAAAAGAAACTGTCATTTCTTTTGAAAGTGAGATCCATGAATAGGTTTCAAGAGATCTGTGAATCGGTACAAAATTTTGTGTGTATGGGAATTATTCTGTGGAGAATTTCCACGAGGTTAAGAACACTGGTATTAAAAGTAATTAGACACAGAGTAAATAAATATACTTTAATTTCAACATCTAACATTTGATGCATATAGTTGTTAACTCTATTACTGATATGTCCTTCTCTCTATTTTGTTCTTTAGGAAAATCATTTTAATATAATGAATTTTATTGATAAAGTAGAGTTGTTTGAGGTAAATAGGTTATGATTGTCTGGAATAAAGGTTTTTTTTTTTTTATCTTAAAATAATCCTGATAGAGACATGTCAAAGGCCACACGTCCGTGTGGCTCCATTGCCAAAGATGAGCCAGTCTGATCATAAAAGGAATAATGAATGCAGCTGAGGGAAACACTTTGAATACATAGGTAGCCACAAAGTTACCATTAAAAACATTGATGAGACAATTAGGGAAATCTGAATACAGGCTACGTATTTGATTACATTAGGAAATTATTCACTTTTCTTGGTGTGATAATGACAATGTGGTTAAGAAAAAGGAGTCCTTGGGCACCTGAGTGGAGTCGTTAAGCGTCTGCCTTCGGCTCAGGTCATGGTCCCAGGGTCCTGGGATCGAGCCCCACATCGAGCTCCCTGCTCCACGGAGAGCCTGCTTCTCCCTCTCCCACTCCCCCTGCTTGTGTTCCCTCTCTCGCCGTGTCTCTCTCTGTCAAATAAATAAATAAAATCTTTTTAAAAAATCCAAAACATGAAAACAATCTCATGAGTTCTTGATACTCAAAAAAGAAAAAAGACAAAAATGAAAACTGATAGTGAAAACAATTTAAAAAATACATAGGTCAACACCAAGATAATTAATGCATTCTTCCTCCTTCCTCTAGAAATTTAATAATTAAAGGGAAAAAAAATGAAGCATTTACCTTGTCTTTTGTGTATGAGCTGCATTTTAGAGAACCCAAGTGGCCATACTTGATGAGGGAAAGTTCTTCTTTACAAGAGCATCCCAGCTAATAAATCTGACAAGAATGTTCACATTAGAAAGTCACCACTTGTAATCCTTAGTGCAATAATTGATTTGCACAAGGACCATCAAAAGGTTGAAGGCTGATGAAATTTACAAGAGGGGTTGAGTTTTCCCCTCTGGATCTAGGCATCAATCTTAGCATCACTAAAGAGGTAAATTACCATATGCCACCTGTTATAATGTACTCAGTATCAGTACAGGGCATTGCCTTTGAAATACTCTTCCACAAAGAGCTGACCTAGAATCTAATGAAGCCTCGAGATGTAACAAGTTTAATGGTAGGAAAATCGACCCACTTTCTTCAGCAAATCAAAATTATTAAGAAGAAAAAAAAAAAAGGCAGGGGTGCCTGGCTGGTTCAGTAGGTGGAACATGAGACTCTTGATCTTGGGGTTGTGAGTTTGAGCCCCACGTTGGGTGTACAGATTAAAAATTAAATCTTCAAAAAGAAAAAAAGGCAGAGGGGGTGTGATAAGGGAAGTACTTTAGTTTAAGAGACAGAGTGGGCATCTTGTGTGGAAAAGATAAAATCGTAGAATTATTTTTGAGGCATTTAAAAATTCTGATATGTATTTGATAACAAGGAATAATTGTTAAATTTTTTTAGGTATAATATGGTCATGCAAAGAAATGTCCACATTTTTTAGAAAGTAATATTGAAATATATAAGGATGAAGGGACATGATGATGTCCCTTTGGAAAAAAACAGACTAAAAGCAAGGAGCTATAAAGCTAATATGACAGAATCTTGATAATTGTTGAGTGTGATAATGAGTGTGGGGTGATTCCTCCTATTATTCTACTTCTGCATATTTTGGAGAATTTCATATGATAGAGCGATGTTATCACCATACCACAAGAAATAACGTTGGTTGTTTTTAGCAGAAGTTTAAGAGGAAATGTAAGAATCACAGAAAAATCTCATTTCCACACACTAGGTTTATAGTATTGATTATTTATTGAACAATAATTAAAATACAGATCCAATAAGACCAACTGGCAGGTGAGGAAGATTTTTTTTTTAAATGAAATTTCCTCAATTCAATCAATGAACTGGTGAATCAATGAAACAAAGACACAGAAGGTAAAGGAAGGAAATAGTTGGCCACCTTCTGCCCAAAGCTATCTTTGCCATGGTCTTGAATCTTTGGAAATATTTCATAGAACATCCTACTAATACTTCTCATAAACCCTTGGTCAAGCTGGATTCGCAAAGCCAACGCAACCAGGACTTTTACATCTCTGAAGTTTGAGGGTGAACTTAGTTCACCGTGGGGAGTTTGTAAGCGAGGAAAAGTAACGCACTTAACATCATCATGAAGGCAGCCAGACAGGCCACCAGAAAGGCACTGCCAGTCTCCTGAGTATCTGGCTTGAAGGGTATAGCGAGAGATGGCGGGAAGGTAATACCCTCTTCATTCACCACGGAGTGGTAATTCCAGACCACAGCGATTGAGATACAGATGCCAGCAGCCAGGTTCAGAATTCCTGAAGCAACAGATGGATTGAAGGTGGCATTCCCCTGACGAACTCCCATGTACACATTTCTAAGTGCAAAGATGGTGGAGGCTCTCCCCAAAAGGCCTAGAATGCTGGCGACCAGCAGGAGATTTTGAGAAACACGAATATCAAGAGGGAGGTAAGTATCACGGTAGCTGAAATGGCGACACAATTTGGTTCTGTTATAGTTGCTGATATGGTGGTAAATGCAGACTTTCCACATTCCCACACAGACCGGGCCAGAGGGAGAGAGAGAGGTGTTGTCCATGTGCCACACTCTCCACTCCACGAAGCCCATGGAGGTGGTGGTGAGGATCCATCCAACCGTGGCGATAGCAAAACCTGCCACTTGGCAGTTAGCGCTATTGATGAACAGAAGCATGGCGGCCGCGCACCCAGGGAACTGCAAACAAACACAGAGCACCGTGACGGTGGGGCCCTTGGGCTGGGAGCAACCCCCGTGGGTACGCAGAGCTATATTTGGGAATGGAGACATGGGACGTTCACATTCTGCTGGTGGGAGCACAGAGCAAGCACACTTTGTGAAGGACCTTTGGCACTATTCATCAAAAGCCTTAAAAGGTGCCGACTTTCAAACAGGCAGTTCCATTTTGGGGCATTCGTCCAAAGAAATAATTACGATCGGCCACAAGTGTATAGTCATGAAGTGGTCATCATGGCCCTGTTCGTAATACTGAAAAATGGGACACAAGTCCAACAATTGAGCTTGGTTAAATAAGTTATGTTATATCCGTGCAATGGAGCTATGTGCTAACGTTCAATATATGGCTGGAATCGAGCAAGGGGTAACATTTTGTGTTTGGCTCTGCTCACTTGCATAATGTTTTAAGTTTCATCCATGTCCTGCCATGTATGAATAGTCTGTTCCTTTTCATTGCTGGGTCCTATTCAGTTGGAGGGATAGGCCACAGTTTAAGTTTTTGGACATTGGGATTGGTTCCAAGTTTGGGCTATTATGAATAGTGCTGCTCTAAACATTTCTATGTAATATTTTGTATGGGCATACGTTCTCCTTTCTCTTGTGTAGATATCTAGAGTGGGGCTAGTGGGGCATATGGTAAGTGTTGCTGAACTTTTTAGAAAGTGCTAAACCATTTCCCTAGTGGCTCCACCATTTTGCATTCCCACCAGCACTGCATGAAGGTTCCGGTTTCTCTATCTCTTTTCCAACAGTTGATATGTTTCACCTTTTTGATTACATCCATTCTAATTACCATTAAAACATAATGTAACCAAAGGAAGATGTCCCCAATATGTCAAGTACAAACAGTAAGTTACAAAACAGTACATATAATCATGGATAGAAGTAGAACTGGAAGTCTGTATGCTAAGTTAGTAGGAGATATTTTTAACTGGGTTGGAGGGATTATGAGTTTTTAAAACTATTTGTATTGTGAAGAATCATATAGCACACAAAATCTAAGTGTACAGCTCAATGAATTATCACAGGGCAAATAACCACATATACACCACTTGGTTTAAGATATATGACATTATCACTTCCTTATTTGTCTTTATCTTTTTTCACCTTAGCATGAACCCCCAAGCATCTTTATTCAATTCTGCCTGTTTTTCAAAACAGGGATCATGCAGTAGGCATTTCTCTGTGACTGGCTTCTTTCACTCAACACTGTTTCTGACCTTGGATTGTGATTTTTTTTTTTTAAAGATTTTATTTATTTATTTGAGAGAGAGAGAACGAGAGAGAGCACATGAGAGGGGGGAGGGTCAGAGGGAGAAGCAGACTCCCTGCCGAGCAGGGAGCCCGATGCGGGACTCGATCCAGGGACTCCAGGATCATGACCTGAGCCGAAGGCAGTCGCTCAACCAACTGAGCCACCCAGGCGCCCTGGATTGTGATTTTTTAAATGATGTCTGGCTGGGGCTCCTGGGTGGCTCAGATGGTTGAGCGTCTGCCTTCGGATCAGGTCATGATCCCAGGGTCCTGGGATCGAGCCCCGCATCGGGCTCCTGGCTCAGCGAGGAGCCTGCTTCTCTCTCTTTCCCTCTGCCTCTCTCCCTGCTCATGCGTTCTCTCTCTCTCTCTCTCTGTATCTCTGTGTCTCAAATGAATAAATAAAATCTTAAAAAAAAATTTTTTTTAAATGATGTCTGGCTGTTCAAGCCTTTTAAGGTATTTCTGTCATGATTTTTTAGATAAAAACAGTAAGAAAGGCTTCATTAAAGTTATGAAGCAATGGAGGATGAATTATATCTGGTACATAACTACACGTAGGAGCTCTTATTCATTCACCATGAAGACTTAGCAGATATAAAAGTAGAATATTTCGTAATGTGGGAAAACATCCGTGATGGGTTGAATTTAAAACACAGATAATAAAACTACAAGTTTGTAGCGTGATCTTATTTATGCCCATCCTAAAATAAGATGGAAAAATGCAAGACAAGATGCCTCTGTTGGGATTGCTAGTGATTTTTTTTTTTCATGTTTTAAGGTAAAAGTACTACTTTTTCAGTTGGAGACAAATGGGGGTGTACAAGGGGTGCAAGTATAGAAATGAATAAAGATAAGGCAGAAGCAGGCGTGGAAGCCAGTTCATGGAGGGCATCAAGGGGTCTGGACTTTATTATGGGGGCGTCCCACGCCGGGACGTATTGATTTACCATTCATGTGTGGTTTGCGTGGGAGAAAGAGGTGTGTACTTGTAAGGAAAGCTCTTCGAAATACCTCGCTAAGTGAAAATGTGTGTTGCAAAAGCATGTGTATAGAAATGGCTCCCTTGGGGTGCCTGGGTGGTGCAGTCGGTTGAGTGTCCGACTCTTGGTTTTGGCTGGGGTCGTGATCTCAGGGTCATGAGATCCAGCCCTGCATGAGGTTCCGTGCTCAGTGCGGAGTCGGCTTGGATTCTCTCTCCCTCTCCCTCTGCACAACCTTCCCTCCATGCCCAGCATCCTCTCTTCCTCGGTTTTAATTTTTTGCCAGAAACACGTAATGCTCTTAAAAGGTAAACGATGAATCGAGAAAGGGGAGAGAAGCGGGACAGAGGCAGGTCACGCCGCCTCTGAGGGAGGTGAGTGGGGCGCCAGGCCCTGGGCTGAGCCGGACCTCGGGGAGCAGGGAGGGTGGGGAGGGCACGGGAGGGCTTCGCGGGCAGCGGCTCAGCCTCCCGCAGCGCTCCCGAGCCCCGGGCTCTGTGCCAGGTCGGCAGTTCCTAAACTTCTTGGTCTCAGGACCAAAAAGGTCTCCACCCTTTGCACTTAGAAGCGGTGGAGGTAGGTGGTTACTGGGTCATGGAGTTTCAGTTTGGGAAGCTGAAAAAAGTTCTGGAGATGGATACTGGAGGGAGGTGATGGTTGCACACAAGAAGCTACTTCATAGGGGCACCTGGGTGGCTCAGCCGTTAAGCGTCTGCCTTCGGCTCAGGTCGTGATTCCAGGGTCCTGGGATCGAGCCCCGCATCGGGCTCCCTGCTCGGCGGGAAGCCTGCTTCTCCCTCTCCCACTCCCCCTGCTTGTGTTCCCTCTCTTGCTGTGTCTCTCTGTCAAATAAAATCTTAAAAAAAAAAAAAGAAGCTACTTCATACCACTGACCTGGACCCTTAAAAATGGTTAAAATGGTCAATAATGTTATATATATTTTCCTACAATAAGAAAAAAAAACCCCAAAATTTATTGATGACCCCAAAGAGTTCTTGTTCTCACAGTTTATATCCACTGATATTTACCATATCAGGAATTAAAAGTGAGAAATTTAAAATTACTTATTACATCATGTGATAAACATTACGTATTAACAAGGATTTTTATGAAAAGTGGCTATATTTTCCAAACAGAATTTAGAGGATATTGCTTTTAGCAATCTGCAAATTGTGTGTAAATTACACATTAAATTCTAAGAATGGAAGGGAAGGAGCAAACTATCAGCAGAAGCATGGTTCAGGATCTAGCTGGAGACAACGCAAATACCCACCCACAAGGAGGGACAAAGGAACTGTCAGTTATTCATACGATGGAACACTATCCACCCCGCACAAACGGTTATGATGGCATTTGTGGCGTTTGTCATAAGTACTTACTGACATACGCCCTCCAGCTGGGCATAAACAGTGTGTCACTTACTCACAATCCACTTAGTAGAAGGCCGGTGCCCGATGGGCATGTGAAGTTTGTTGAGTGGGCCAAACGTGTCCCTGGAGGCCTCCTCCAGAACTCCTCTCAAACCTGAATTCATCTGTAGGATGGAGACCCAGCCCAGCACTGATGGCCTGTTGAGTCAGAAACTCCCAACAGAACCCCAGAGTCTCTGTAACCCATGCCTGTGGTCAAGAGGAACACGACCACATTCTTGCTCTCACGTAAATGTTAAAAGCTCCATGACCTAATGGGAAGAGTGGAGACACTGACCCGTTTGTCTTTGGCTCCAGAGGAGATCCGCTTCTCGCCGCCGCTCTGGGGTTACCTGCCGCAGACACTTGCTATCCCCTTTGCCCTCGGGCAGCCGGCCCCTTCTCTCCTAATGCGCCACTTCCAACCCACCGTCGGACGAGACCACCAGGACTTTGAAGGATGCTGTTGCGATAGTCTGGATCTCGTCTCATCAAAGTCCTCTGGCTCCACTTACGTACCACGGACAAATCTACACAGGCACTTACCCAACATTTTAAAACCTTTAAAGAAAATTCTGGAATATTGGGGCCATTGTGACACAGGAGCTGGGTAGAAAGGACAGCCATTTTATGGTTTGTCTACTGTATGCTGAAAAGAAGGGCTCCCTAAGAGAATTATAAAAGCAATGCTGTACTCCTTAGGAGTTCTTCCCTAACCCCCTCTCCCGCCCCAGGCCCCTGGTTCTCTGTGTTTACAGATTTGCCTATTATGGGTAGCTCCCATAAACAGAGTCCTACCATTTGTGGCCTTTGTGTGTGGCTTCTTCTAAGCATCATGTTTTGCGGGTTCATCCATAGATGTATCGGTACTTCACTCCTTTTCATGGCCCAGTAATATTCCACTGTATACACCTACTACTGTTTATTGAGCAGGTGATGGGCACTTGGGTTGTTTTCCCTTTGGGGCTATTATGAATGATGCTGCTATGAACATTAATGTGTAAGTGTCTGTATGGATATGTTTTCATTTCTCTTGGGTATGTACCTAGGAGTGGAATTGCTGGGTCACAAGGTAACTCTATGTCTAACATTTTGAGGGACCACCAAATTGTTTTCTTAAGTGGCCGTACCATTTGATAATCCTACCAGCAATGTTTAAGGGCTCTAATTTCTCCCCCTCCTTGTAACACTAGCTATTGATTGCCTATTTGGGTTTGATGACTATATATATGGAACCACTATGTGAGCTCAGTGTAAAGGACCCTTAGGAACAAGGGACACTTAAAGACTGAGCTTAATTGTAGTTTTCTGGTTATTTTCTGGCCTCAGGAAGTTTAAAACACAAATATTTGGGCGCCTGAGTGGCTCAGATGGTTAAGCGTCTGCCTTCGGCTCAGGTCATGATCCCAGGGTCCTGGGATCGAGTCCCACATCGGGCTCCTGGCTCAGCGGGGAGCCTGCTTCTCCCTCTGACCCTCTCCCCTCTCATGCTGTTTCTCTCTCACTCGCTCTCTAAAAAATAAATAAATAAAATCTTAAAAAAAAAAACATTCTTACCAGACTCTGGCTTATAACCTGAATGTAATTTCCATCCTTCGAATTTAACAAGAGCTTTGTGAACTCTGAAATGCTCTCTCCAAGATGGGAAACCTTTCAATGGAGTGTTCTAGTAGGTGCTAGTTTTCATTAACACTTGCAATGTATACCTCACACTTTGCCTGAGTTCTGATGGGTCTTTGGTTCAGACTGGAAAGTCTCTACTTCTAAGGGTGGAACGATGGCATGTCGCAGAGACAGATTATTTTTTTTCCCTAGCCAAGGAGACCAAATGTGAGGGCTACACATGTTGGGTGATTGGAGAATATGAAAGAGAAAAGGGGAAGCAAATGGTGAGGACACATGCAGATGGTGAGGACACAGGCAGTTTCAGAAAAGGTGGGCCTTGTGGAGTATGAAAGGTGGACTTTAAACAGGGCAATGAAGTACCAATAAAATAAATAGCAATAACCTAAAAAAACCCCAGTGAGGCTGTCTCACGATGACGTTACTATGGTGTCACAGCACAAAGGCTGTGGAATGGAGCGAGCTGAAGAGGTTCTACGTGGGATTAGGTGGCCCTCTGTGCTGGTCAGCCCCTTGCACCTTCCTTAGTCTTCACTGGTGGGTGACGCTGATGTGGTACCACTCGAATCCACGTCAGAAGAGACCAGGAATGGGCATCCAAATGGGAAAGCAAGGAACAGCAAATTAATCTTTGAGAGTGAGTGAAACAAACACTTGTGTGGTCAAGGAGTCAAAACACAATGGAGGACAGGAAACACAACAAAAACTCAAAACACAACAAAAACTTGAAAAATGTGGAATTACCCCAGGATCCAGCAATCCCAGCTCCTGGTATATACCCAACGGAAGAGAAAGCAAATACCTGCCCCCCTACCCCCACCACGTTCATAGTAGCATCCTTCACAATAGCCAAGAGGTGGAAACCCGAATGTCTATCCGTGGATGAATGGATAGACAAAATGGGGTCTCTACACACAAGGGAGTATTTCTCAGCCTTAAAGAGGAAGGACAGTCTGACACTTGTTCCAACACGGATGAACCTTGAAGACATTATAGTGAAATAAGCCAGTCCCCAAGAGACAAATGGTGTGATTGCGCTTCTGTGCAGCGTCCCAGACACACAAAGTAGGACAGCGGTTGCCAGGGGCTGG